ACACATGTATGTATATGGGGGGCGGGGAGCGCTTCAAAACGCTCATGGAACAATGACATTAACTTTTCTTTTCATTTCCCATGGGCTTTTTGAGGCTAGCAAAGCAAAGGGGCTTCCAAAGGCTCCTGGGGGGAATGGGAGGCAAAGATGGTGGCATCTTTTCGGCTGAACTTTGTGAAGTCCCCTTGCATATACCGTTATCTTTGTCCACCTGGTCCCCCGACTTGTTACACACCTTCCTGCCGCATTTGTGCCCAAGAGGGTCATGACGAGAAGGCTGAGGCGAGGGGAAAGTACGAGTGTCGAGGGAGGAGGCGCCAAGAAAGAGGCGCCGGCCGGCGAACAGTCTAGAGAGTGACCGGGGAGGCGGATGAGGTTTTGCACGTGGGTAAGTGGCAGTTGCTCAGAGAGTCGTTTCAAGACAGTTGGGGGCAAAAGCCAGAATGTGAGCAGTCAGAGGGAAGGAACGGTGAAGAGGGTGGCACTTTCGGTGGGGCCGAGGTCAGAGGATGCTTGGGTGGGACAAGGCTTGCGGAGCTCAGGAAGGGGTGGGCAGTGGGGCGGAGCTCCAAGTCGGGCGCAACAGTGGCTATGCTGGGAGCTGGGCAGAAAGTGGCTGGTGTGGCCATAGAAGAAGGAGGTCTGGTGCCACTGGAAACCAGGAAGGGAAGCGGTGAGGAGGGGGTTAGGCTGGACCCTCCTAAGTGTGGACTGAGGGCTGGCGAGCCTGTGCCTGGCACGATGCCACCCTATTCCCCATGCAGCATCTGCAAGAAGACTCTGATTCTGGGGGAGTAGTGGTTCCATGCTGGGAAGCCAGTTCCCACCCAGAGCGACCCTCTGTACATCAGATTGAAACTCGGCCCTCGGCCTGTGCCAACCTCAGCCGGCTCTCGGAGCCACTAGGCCCATCCCTCTTGATGGGGGTCTTCCTCCTTTTCACGGACTTTCTACTTGACCCGTGTCATGTCTTTCTCCAGAGACTGGTCCCTCCTGAGAGCAGAGTCAGTGCTGGTGCTCTTGCCACTGAACACAGGAAGGAATGGTAGGTGATTTCCCCGTGGATGCCCGGGGCTGAAATCCTCGTCACCTGCTATCCAAGCCTGCACTCGAACCACCTGTCTTTTGAGGGGTTCTCCATGGTCCTATCTGCTCAGCTCTGCAGCCTGTGCCCCAGGGCAGAGGCTGAGGCCATTCAAAGGGCACAGGTGCCAAGGAGCTCAGGCTTGGCAAGTAGGGGCAGCATATGGCCAGCCGTGAAGGTGCCTGCAGGAGCGGTGACTGCCGGGAGGCTGTGAGAAGGGCTAGCCGATGAGAAGGAGGTGGCAGGGCTGGGGCTCAGCCCACCGATGGTCTGTGGAGCCTGGGCAGATGGGAGACGGAGTGGAAACAGGAGATGGCATCCATGATGTCAGCCTCGGCTCACACCACCACGTCCACCAGCCTCCTGAAACACCCCACATAACGGGGCACATTCACTCGCACTCGGGCATCACTCTTTGTTCCTTGGCCTTGAACTTCCTTGAGACCAAGACCAGAGAAGACATGTGGCCTGCCCATGGTTGTACATCCTGTGCAGGGAGCCAAACCCAGCATCTGGCCCACAAGGAGGGCGTGAGCTCCTGTCTCCCTCACAAAAACCCTGTGAGGTGAGTCTGATCGCCCCGTTCAGAGATAGGAAGGTGGGAGCTAAGAGAGGAAGCCACGTGTTTGAGGTCCCATGGCCAGGAAATGGTGGGGCCAGGGTGGTGAAGCCAGTGGAGTGTCTCCCCACCCACTGTTTCCCTAGGCAAGGTCCAGAGGGGGGAGGACTGGGTTGCAGAGAAACCAGAGTCCTGGGGCTCTGCACCCCAGAGCTGCCGAGAGCCCCAGGCTTCCTCCACTACCGGCTTCTGGACTCAGGAGCCAGGCATGGGCAGCTGCCATACCAGGATACAGCGAGGCAGGGTCCAGGCACAGCCACATCCGGGTGTGTTCTCTGCTCAGGGGGTATTGAGGAATGGGAACCAGAGAACCTTGGGCTGAACACAGGGCTGGGAGAGGCTGGAGCCATCCTGAAGTCCCTTGGATTCTTTTAAATCAGGAGGGATACAAGACGTGGAAACAGGGGAGGGAAGAATTGGGGTGGCGGGGAGACCCACAGTCTCTCCTAGTCTTACCCATACAGGAGATTCTAGCTCTAGCTAGAGCCAGCAGAGGCGGAGCAAGGGGGCCTCGAGTACAATCTCCAGGCCTGGACCCTTCCCAGCAGAGGGAAGACGCGGGGTACGTACTTGACGTTGGTGTTGGTGCAGATGATGTACTCGATCTCGTCTGAATAGGGATTCTGAAACGTGAAGCTGCTGGTGCGGATCAGCATCCACTCGCGGTTCTTGGTGCGGAATCGATACATGACCGAGAGAACTTGGCCTTTCAGCTTGACCACCTAAGAAAACATTTGGAGAAGGAAGTCAGCAGGAGGAAGGATGGTGCCAGACGGAGGAGGGGAGGCACAGGCAGTGAGGTCTCTGCGGGGGCCACGAACCTCAGAACGGGGCATTGTGGCTTGGGGGGGGGGAGGCAGGGAGGGAGAGGGAGAACAAGAGAGAGGGGAACAGACGGAGAGCCGGCGAGCGAGAAAGCCGGGGCTGAGTAAATGAGAGAGAGACACGGAGAGAAAGCAGGAGCGAGGGACAGAGAACGAGTGGATAAGAAGGGGTGAGTGGGTGAGAGACAGGAAGACAGAGTGCAGAGAGACCGCAGAGGGGGAGAGTGAGAGGGAGGGAGAGACAACACAGGGAGAGACAAAGACAGGGGATGAGTGAAAAGCCGCAGAGGACAGAGCGCGTGGCCACCCGGCCACTACTCCCCTCTCAAAGAGCTGCCTGTCACCGACAACCCGACCATTTCAGAGCGAGGCTCCGTGGCTCTTTGCCGGCTGCTAGCTAGGGGCCTCCGAGCTTGATGCTTCCTCCTCCCTGAGGTAGAACTTCACTGTGGGGTCAGGTCAGTCATCTTCACGGGGCTGCTTCTCCCCCCCTCACATGAAGAACCACCCCAGCAAACCCCTCAAAACACAGAGGCACCACGGCCTCTGTGTCCTGTGCAAACTGGACCCCAGGTCCCGAGAAGCCAAAGCAAAGCCCCAAACCACACTCGCTGCCGCCGAGTCCATGCCGAGTCAGGGCAATGCTACAGCTCAGGGAGGAATGTCCCCAGTGAGTGTCCATGACTGTCACTTTTTCCCCAATCCTAATCTTCATATTATTTGTATTTAAAAAAAAATAATTTTATTGGGGCTCTTACAGCTCTGATCACAATCCATCCATCCATCCATCCATCCATCCATCCATCCATCCATCCATCAGTCCATCCATCCATTCATCCATCTATCCATCCATCCATCCATTTATCGTGTCAAGCACATTTGTACCTATGTTGTCATCATCATTCTCAAAACATTTGTTTTCTACTTGAGCCCTTGGTGACTGTAATGCTTTAAGGGACAAGAAGGCCCCGCTTTCTTCTGCATCCTGAGAAACGAGTCATACAAGAATATATGTGTATGTGTCTGAGTGTGTCTATGTACCTGATTGCTAATCTCAGGCCTCTCAGGCCCGAAACATTCTCAAGTATGTTCTCATCTCAGGTAGATCCTCACAAGGGTTTGGAGAGGTGGCCTTGGTTTTGCTAGTCACCGATGACACTTCTGAGACTCAGAGAAGTTCAGTTATGAAGATCAGACCAGCTTGGTGGACGCTGGGGCAGGAACCATGGCCTTACTTCCAAATCACAAGATTATCTCTCTGGACACACAGCTCTCTCGGGCCTACGTTCGTTCGTTCATTCTCTCTCTCTTTCCCCCTCTCTCTAAGACACCCACACTCTGTGCACCTGCAGAAACACAGAGACGTGTGCATACTCCTCCATTCCTGAACAGAAGAAGGAGAAAGGCTTTAAGGGCCTGTGGTGTGATTATAGTCTCAGGACACAATGCAGCAAGCAGGGCATGCCCCTCCATGGGTGCGCACCGAGCTGCTGCCTGAGAGGCCACAGTGCGCTCATTGCTATGAATGAGGACCTGATCTCAGGTGTAAGAGAGTTCCAGTTCCCTGGTTCCCAGGACCTGCTACACATGAAGTGGATTCTCTGTTTGCTGCTTGCCATCGTTCTCAGACTATATATGCAGCGTGGGGACCAGGACGTCTTGGCACCCTGTCATCTCACATCTGGCTCTGAGCAGGCATCCGTATATGTTCCCCAACTGCCTCGGGGGACCTGTTGGCCCTGAGCTGATGTAGTGGCCACCCTGCAGAAGCCACATGAGCTCCCAGCCCGAGGGTGTCGCACAAGACTCCCCAGTGGGAAGCCTGCAGCACCAGAGGAACCGGACCAGAAGGTCAGGCGAGATGGGGGGGGCCTTGTCTAGAGCAAGAAGCCATGGCTAAAGCTCAGGTGCATGCCTGATGGCAAGTCTGCAGCCTCCACACCAAGTGTGCCAGGAACTTGGCCCTGTCCCCAGAGGAGCCAGTGGACAAAACCGTACTCTGAGGGATGCGGCCATGGGCCACGTCCCCACACCCGTGTCTGCTCCCGGTGGCAGTGACTGACGCTGTGTGGAGCTGGAATGGGAGCCTCAAGGAAGAGAGATAACCAGCCCAGGCTCCACTGAGGAGCGGTAGAGCTAGGCTCTGATCCCAGGTCTCCCTGCCCCAGTGCCCATGTCTTTTCCTGTACTCCCATAGACAAAGGGGACACGCTATCCTCTGAGTGCACCCCATCTAGCCGGTGCAAGAGAGACAGACACAGAGAGAGCCCTGACCGCTCCAGGAATAGCTCAGAGCCAGGGCCATGGAGTGAGCAGGGTGCAAGGGGACACCCTGTTGCCGGGGGCCAGAAAGGGCTCCTGGATGGATCTCCCAGGCTTTGGAACACATGCTGGGAAGAAGGGCTCTTCTGGAGGGGCCCCACTGCCATTGAGTGAGCTCCAACTGAACCGGTTTATAGGAACACAAAGCCTCCTCTCTCTCCCGCTGAGTGGTGGGTAGGTGTGTTCACACTGAGGACCTCAGGGTTAGCAGGCCAGTGCCTGACCCATGGAGCCACCAGGACTGCGGGAGGAGGCACAGCACCAGCGGGCGGTTGGAGTCGGGGCAGCGGGCCTGCGCTGGGGATGCGGCATGGAAGGCAGTATCTGTGATGCAACACGGACCAGGCCTCACACAACTGGGGGTGGGATGAGAGGTGGGGAGTGTATTCAAAGGCACTTAACTCAGGTACAAAGGGCCACACCCCCCAAACCCGGCCTAACAGTTTGTTAGCTGCTCTGGAGTAGAGCCCCACCTCAGGGCCACCCATGCCCAATGGGATCCAACCGTTGCCAACCCAGGGTATTCGCTGGCTGATTTTTGGAAGGCCAAGACTTTCTTCCTAGGCTGTCTTGGTGCGGCCGCTCTGTTGAAGCCTGCTTGCATCAGGCCGGGTGCTAGCTGCTCCTGTGTGAGGTTCCCTGGCTGGGAAGTGAACCCTAATCTTCGGCAGGGAAGGCAAGGACTCCATCAGCGAACCAGCACTGGCCTCCAGCCCAGCACAAAGCCCAAACCAAACTCCGAGTCCAACTCAGAGCGAACCTACAGGGCAGGCCAGGGCCGCCTCTGTGAGCCTCCGAGACGGCAACTCTTTACAGGAGTGTAGGCCTCACATTTCTCCCCAGGAGTGGCTGACGGTGTCCAAGCGTGGGACTTGCTGCTGGCAGCCCAAGGGGCCGCGTTACTGCCCAGGGCTCCCACCAACCCACAAAACCAAACACATTGCCACTGAGTCAATGCCACCCAACAGGGACCCTAAGGAACAGGGCAGTTTCCGAGACGGTCACTATGTATGGGAGTGCTGCTGACCTTGCCGTTAGGAGTCACGACTACCAGGGCTCCCACCGGTCTTCTCAAAAAGAAGCTTCCACCATCAGCCAAGGGATCAGGCAGAGTGTAGCGACCAGCTCCTGCCTTACACCTCTCTGGGTTCCGCTCTCCCTCCCATGTGGGTGACCAGAAGCCCCAGAGCAGAGCAGTGCCCCATGAAGGCTTCCCAGAGGGCACACCGACACCCCGCCAAACTCAAATTCCTCCCGCGTTGCATCGGCAGGCACTAAGGGGCTCATGTCTAGGGCACTCAGATGCTTTTGTTTAAATCCAGAGCTCCCAGGGCTGACTTCTGGCTGACAGGACCCCCTCCGTGCTTTTGCACGAATAAACCACTTCCCTGTGTCAACATGTGTGCCCCATCCCTCCCACCAGTGGCCAGAGCCCAAAGAACACAGACGTGGGGCCCAGGCGCGGCATGCTGCAGATTGCCCGTGTCTGTCTGCAGCGCCCGCTGAGCCCTGGGACGGGCCTGGGGCTGCCAGCGCCCCTCCTCAGTCAGCACCGCTGCCTGCGCTTCCCCGCCCACCTGAGGAATGAGGCTGCCTCTCACAGAGGTTGGACACCAGACCAGATGTTACATTCCTTCCCCTTTCTTTTCAGAATCAACCAGGTTCAGAGACTCAGCAGAGAGTCTCAAATGGAGAGGCCAACTGTGTGTGTG